TTTCTTTTCTACATGGAAAGTACCTAAGAGAGCTTTCTGTGCACTTCTTTATCTAATCCTTTCTCTTTTCCTGCTTTTCAACTGTCAAGCTTTTCATTGCATCCTTTAGTGTACATGTTCCCATTTTTCTGGCATTCCTTTCATCTCTTTTTTTATCCTTCATATTTATGCTTCTAGGTAGTGTAATTAAGTTATTTTCAATCACACAAGCCAGGTTTTAAAAAAATTTTTAATTTTAAAGCCTTTTAAAGTAGAAACGTTTCCTTGATTTTGCTTAGATTTTGTGTGTCACAGCTGAAACAAGTTCTTTAATTCACAGTAACCTTTATGAAGCGGGTGCTTGAGTCTGGTGCCTTAGACCACTTGGCCATCCTGACACGACCATATTTACCTTTATTTTTATTTATTTTCTAAAAAATATTTATGTATTTAGAGACACCATGAGCAAGGTGAGGGGCAGAGAGTGAGGGAGAGAAGCAGATTCTGCACTGAGTGCAGAACCCGATGCGGGACTTGATCTCATGACCTGAGCCAAAATCAAGAGTCAGACAGTTAACTGACTGAGCCATCCAGGCAGGCACCTGACCATATTTACCTTTAAATAAAGGTTTGGACCTTATGATATAATACTTCTTAACCTGTTTCATAATATGATAGATGTGGAAATGTTTGGATGGGGCACAGAAGCAAATGAGGAGGCTGCTTAGACCCTGCCCATCTGAGGGCTGAGGAAATTTGTACCTCTGCACTGTAATCTATTGACCTAACATTTGGAAGTTCTGCCTTAAGGATAGATAGACTTAGGCAATGTGTGATCACTCTGAATGCTTTATTTTTTGTGTTTGTATATATTTTTCTTAAGAAAGAGTTATAACTTTCATGAGATTCTCAAAGGAATCTATGGACCCAGAAAGGTTAAGAATTAATGCTTTAAATTGTGGAACTAAAGCCAAATGAATGGCATAACTTATTGTTTGCTTTTAGTGTGAATTTTTTCCTTTTGATTACAAAGTTATGCATATGTTTGTTATACAAAATTCAAACATTATAGGTAGAGTTAATGTAGAAAGTAAAGTATGCTATATCATATTTCTGGTTAATTTCTACCAATTTGGTATACATGTATTTGGTATAAATATTTTTTTCTTACATATATTAACATTTTCCTTCCTATTCTTTCTCCAAAATTTTACTTACAAAGATAGTACTATATATACTATTATGTGTTTTCTCACTTAATTTATCTTAGATATGATTCTACTTCAGTACCTGTTGATCTACCTCATTCTTCTTAACAAAGTATTTTATGTATCTACCATAATTTGGTTAACCTTTATTACTGAACACATGAGCTGTTTCTACCTTTTTTTGCATTGTAAACTGTGCCATAATGAACATTTCTGTAGATACAGTCTTGAAAATTTAGGAGCAATTCCGTATAATAAATTCCTAGAAATAGAAATGTTAGAGTAGGGTATGAACACTTATTAAAGTTTTTTTAAATTAAGTTTTAATTTTAATTCTAGAATAGTTAATGTATGGTGTTATATTAGTTTCAGGTGTACAATGTAGTGATTCAACACTTCTGTATAACACCCGGTGCTCATCACAAGGAGTATGCTCTTGAATCCTCATCCTCTATTTCACCGATCCCTGCAGCCGCCTCCCCTCTGGTGGCCATCGGTGTGTTCTGTATAGTTAAGAGTCTTTTCTTGGTTTGTCTCTCTTTTTCTTTTTTTAAATTTCCTTTGCTCATTTGCTTTTGAGCACTTAAAGTTTTAATAAATACTGCTAAAACATCACCAAAAACTGGATTTATTTACACTTCCATGCATATGATAACAGAAATTTATGAGTGTGCTTTCCAACAATGAATTAGTAAAGTGAATCTTCCCCAGTCCTCAAGATGAAAAAGCTTTTTTGTATTATCAGAATTTTCAAACATAGACAAATGTAAATGCAAGAGAGCATTGAACCTCCATATACCCATTGCTGGATTCAACATTTATCAGGATTTTTGCCACATTTGCTTCATTTGTCCTTTTTTCTCTTTTGCTGAAGTATTTTGAAGGAAATCCTAAACATTGTCATCTCACCCTGACATGCTTCAGGATTTATCTTTAAAAATTGCAAATATTTCCTTCCTTTTAAAAAATTTTTAGGTTTTTAGTACAGAAAATTTCACACATACATAAAAGCAGTGCACATAATAAACCCAAGTACTATGATCTTTTATTAGGGGAAAAACTCCTTCAGTGACGTTTTAAATTTAAAGACCAATTAAAACTACATTCTTTTGACTTGGTGCCTTAAAAATCTGAAGGGAATACTTTATTGGCTTTGATATTGGCCCACATTCTATTTAATGAATCCCCCTGTATCCATCTCCCAGTTTCAACAATTAACAACTCATAGTTGGTCTTGGTATACTCCTACCTATTTCAGTTTAGCCCACCAGATTACTTTGAATCAAGTTGTATACATGAAAGCATTTCATTTATAAGTATTTACATAGCCATATTTAAAAGACTTCATTTTGCAATGATAACTGCAGTGCTGCTACCATCATACTGACACAAAATAGTGTCATAAAATACCCATGAACATTCTTATGTAACCACACTGCCATGATCACACCTAATAAAATTACTCAATGAACTCTTACCCAGTTCATAATTAGATTTCTCTGGTTGTCTAAAAAAAATACCTTTTTAAATTTGGTTTGTTACAGTCCACTCACACATTATATTTATTGGGTCTCTCAAGCTTTTTTAAACCTAGACTGGTCCTTCTACCTCCTTTTTCCTCTTGCCACTGACAGGTTGCAGAAATTGAGTCTGTTGTTCTGTGTAATGGTCTACATTCATGATTTATCTGTTTGCTTTTTTGTGGTGTTTTTGACTTTTGCCTTTAGCACCTATATTTCTTATAAATGGAAGTCAGCTCTCGAGACTTGGTGTCAAATTCAACATGTTTGATAAGAACACCTCCTAAGTGGTGCTGTGTGCTTCACAAACATCACAGTGTCTGATTTTTTTTACTTCTCATTATACTAAGATTGTTAAGGATGTGACCGTCTGATCTCAAGTGGAAAATTTCCCCATAAGCCTTTCTCTAAATCCATCACAAAATGGTCAATTTCTAGTTACTCATTTTTTATTTTATTTTATTATTTTTAAAATTCTGACGGGCTGTCTGGCACTTTAGGGGATTCCTTGTTATATTTGGAAGCTTTTCCTTCCTTCCTTCCTTCCTTCCTTCCTTCCTTCCTTCCTTCCTTCCTTCCTTCAAAAGATTTTATTTATTTATTTGACAGAGAGAAAGAGCACAAGCAGGGGGAGTGGCAGAGGGAGAGGGAGAAGCAGGCTTCCTGCTGAGCGAGGAGCCCAATGTGGGACCTGAGGCCAGGACCCTGGGATCATGACCTGAGCAGAAGGCAGACGCTTAATCAACTGAGCCACCCAGGCGCCCCTCATTTTTTATTTTAATAAAATTCATTGCTTTGGTTATTAGTGAACTCGAGCATCTTTTCATATGTTTATTAGCCATTCAGCAATTTTTTTTGTGACTTGTTCATGACCTTGGCTGATTGTTCTATTGAATTGGTTTTTTTTCTTTTTCTTTTTCTTATCCATTTTCAAGTGTTCATTATCAAAGATATTAATCTTTTATCTGTTTTACCTCTTGTAAATATTTTTTTCAATTTGTAATTGTCTTCTGTATAGAAGCTTGATTTATGTAGTCAATTTTTATCTTACAGTTAATGGCTTTTGGTTTAAAGTTTTACTTAGTTACACTTTCTATACTTTGAGGTAATGGAGGGGGAATAGTTTATTTTTTGCTGGTATCTTTTTTCACTTTTGATTTGTATGGAATATATTTTGTATATGGTGTAAGATGAAAATAAAATTTACTTCCTGCATAAAAATAATCAATTGTCCTAAAACAATTTATTGAAAGTCTTCTTCCTACCACATTGAATTGATATGCCATATTTATGATATTATTTTCACAAATTTATGTAGTCTCTTTCTAGACTCCATTGTGGTCCACGGAAGATATTGTATTACCACAGATTTTTAATTATAATAGCTTTGTACTATATTTTAAGGTCTAAGTCACTGTCAGTAATCATTTTTTCCCCAAGTTTTACTGATTTTTTTTTTCCACACATAGACTCTTCTATTGAAACTTCAGAATTAGTTTGTGATTAGTCTCATTGTGATTTAACTGTAATGGCATTGAGCTTGGTGGAACTGACTTTTAAAAAAATAAAATTGATTTTTCCACTTGAGAATGTAGTTTTTCTCTAGATCTTTTTTGTTTTTTAGGTAATATAGTTTCTGCACTCTTCCTAATAAGTTTGTTCTGGGCATTTTATGTTTAGTGTGGTTATTTTGTATTGCCACAAAATATCTTACTTGTGATTATCTGGATTGTGAATACAGAATAGTTTGCTTCATTTTTGTTCAGTGTATACCAATCATACTTTAAAATAAGTATAAACAAGATTAAAAGAAATGTATATACTTATGTGTACTATTTAAAATTTTTCAAATAAGCTTTAAGTATTTCTGTCACTTACATATTCATTCATACAATAAGTTAGAAATAGTTAAGGAATAGAAAATGTGAATTCTTAGGAAATAATCAATTTCTACTAAATGGTTTATAAAGCATAGAAGTAATAAAGTAATATATGAAAGTAATAAATTGCAGTTAAAAAATATTAAATCCTGTAATGAGATTTTCTTTTTGTATTCTAGTTGACACCTAACTAGTATGGTCTTTTATTAGGAGGAAATCCTCCTCAGCCACATATTTTATTTAAAGACTGATTAAAACTATAGTCTTTTAACTTGGTACCTTAAGAATCGTAGAGGAGTAGTAAATCAGCTTTGATATTGGCCTGCATTCTGTTTATGGATATTGTATATAGAGGTAATATGTTTCTGGCAGATTAGACATCACTGTTAATTTTTTTCTTTTTCATATTACAGGTTTTGCAAAAGGCATCAAATTAAATCAAGTTCAAATATTCCCTGTGTCCCCAAAGACTTATTGATGATGTCTGAATTTGTTCTTCCAAGATTTATTTTTTGTCTTATTCAGTACTTAAGAGAAGGCTATAATGAACCAGGTATGTTTAATCTACTTTTTGTTAGTACTCTTTTTAAGTTCCCAATTAACACAGTTTAGCATTAATAACAAGGTGAATTTTTTCAGATATCATTTTTTTGCTTAACATGTTTTATGAGATGACTATGAAATACAGAGACTAAATAAAAACATACTTTAGTATACATCAATTACATAACCTGATAGGTACCTTGTAGTAGCACCGTTTGGGACTTTCTGCTCCTGGGATCATAGATGCTTAGGATCAAACTTACTTGGCCTTTAGCAGGTGAGGAAATAATAATTTTATGGGGTTAAAGTGACTTTATTTACAATTATATTATGATAGAACAGAATTAAGAAGTCCTGGAAATGTGTGAATTTAACTTAGAGTTTTAGAAGCTAAACTACTCTTTCACCATCTCTCTCTCTCCTTTTTTTTTTTTTTTTACAAATTTCTTTTGGCTTATTCCTCTCCATATATAACAACGTATGAGAAAGTCAAATTATTCACTCCCATATTACGGGTAGAATGTATGGGGGTAAGCATCATGATATTATTGAAAAGAAAAAATAAACATGCAAATTATAGATAATCTCCTTGCCTTTTAAGATTTAGTCACAATCTTGACTAATATACTTCAGTTAAATATTTTGGATTTAGATATTATCTGTTAAAGTTGTCAGTCTGACATTGTGAATTACAGATACCAATTAGTGTGGTATGAAACAAATTTATTAACTTTTTATGATCTTTTACCTTTCTGATGATACTTGTATTTTTATCCTTTAAAGGACTGCATCTTGAATTACTTTGAGGTTTTAAATTACTTATTTACTATAAATAATCTTAAATCCAGTTTGAAACTATGGCACACATTTTTATCTATCTCCCCATCATTGAAGTGTGAAGAAACATATAGCATCTTCATCATTTTTTTTTTTTTTTAAAGATTTTATTTATTTATTTGACAGAGAGAGACACAGTGACAGAGGGAACACAAGCAGGGGCGGGGGGGAGGGAGAAGCAGGCTTCCCACATAGCAGGGAGCCCAGGGCGGGTCTCGATCCCAGGACCCTGGGATCATGGCCTGAGGCGAAGGCAGACATTTAATGACTGAGCCACCCAGGCACCCCGAATCTTCATCATTTTTGAAAGTACCATGTTATTCTCATTGTGAGCAAACACTTATACTTATTTCTACATTTTAAGCAAAATATACAATCCTTTGTTAACAACTTCCACTCCTCTCAAGTATGTCTTAAAATACAGGAAGAAATATTATTTTGATTCAGCCCCAAACTACTCTCTTTGGAATGAAGGAACTGGAGACCAGCTGGGTTGTTGAACTTGCCTTTGTGCTATTTCTCATATACTAGTTAACAAGAGTTTTTGGAAATTTACATTTTGTATTATAAGTGTCCTATTTTAGAAAGGTAATAAGTAGAAATCATTTATTAGGAGAACCATTATTTTGATCAGAGAGTAATTCATACAAAAGTGTATTATGTTTATTTTTTTCTTTAGGGACATTTAGCGGTTATAATAGATAGATGACATAGGTACATAGCTTTGATAATTATTTGTTACCAGTATCTGAAAATACAAAGGAATGAATGGAAGCACTTTTTTGACTTAAGATGAGTGTCATGAACTTAAGTTCATGAAATTTTCCTTTCTATATTATCACTTATGCTCAACATTCATTTCGTCTTTCTGTGCTAGAAAAATTACTACATTACTTTGTGTAGAGATCACTGTTTAAAATTTAAGAAAGGACTCGAAATCATTTAATCTGAGGTAATAATAGAAGCTCAGAGATTTTGTTGTTTGACAGATGCCTTGAGTTCCATTTGTCATTTCATCCTACAATCCTCAGATAAGTGTTAGAGCTTATCTAGAGCCCTTGCAAACGAAGAACAAATATTAATTAAATATTTGCTGTGTTACTACATAAGTGACTGAGGAGGACATGAAAATGAATAATATACAGTATTAGTTATCCACTGAGGAAGTTAAGGTTTTTTTTGGTCTGGGTCCCAGGACTCAGAGTGATCTAGAATTTCATTTACACATCATGTTTGAACTGGGTTGTGAGTTCCTTGGGGGTAGGAATTTGTTCTTATTTAGTTTTGCTTCCCAGTGCCTATCATGTAGTAGATGCTGAATAAATGTTGAATGAAATTGATGTCCCCTTTCCTGGGCACAGAGGCCCCGTATTAGCTCCCTTATAAGCATCCTTTTAGCTATTTATGTCTGAACTCTAAATCTCATTTTCCATTTCTTCAGGACCTCAGTTTCTCTGAAAAATCTTTTTTTCCCCCTCTTAAATATTCTTTTGCAGTTGCTGTACAAGTTTTTTCTCTGTTCCTCCAACTCTACTAGGCATATCTTTTCTGGTACTTAAAAGCTAGTAAAAACATTTATGTTTATGAAAACAGTTATTTTTCATTTTAGTTGCTCTGACCTCCAGCTAACATGAGTCTATATTTTTAGAATATGATAGAGAATGAGTTATTTGCTACACAGGTTTAAATTTAGTGCTGACATAATTTTGTTCTAATATTCTTATACTACTCTCAATATTATTTGATTTCTGTCTTGTTTTATTTTAGGAAGTGATCTTAACTTTTTCTTAAACACTATCTAATTTTGAAATGGTGTTATGTTTACATTTATATATCTGGAAATAAAGGATCCTCAAATTGAGTGCTTTTTAACCAAATTAAGTGCTTAATACCTTAATGAAGTCATCTGTTTTCTCCATCTACTTTTTCTCAGAGGATTGAATTTCTGAGCAAGTCTACCCTAGGCTGGGGGCTGGGTGAATAACTACCTTCTTCTTTTTTTTAAAGATTTTATTTATTTATTTGAGAGAAAGTGAGTGAGAGCATGAGCAGGGTGGAGGGGCAGGGGTAGAGGGACAGGCAGACTCCCCGCTGAGCAGGGAGCCCGACATGGGGCTCGATCCCAGGACTCTCGGATCATGACCTGAGCCGAAGGCAGATGCTTAACTGACTAAGCCACCCAGGCACCCCAATGATAACTACCTTCTAAACAGAGTTTTTTTTTTTTTTTTTAAAGATTTATTTATTTATTTGACAGAGACACAGCGAGAGAGGGAACATAAGGGGGGGCGGGGGTGGGAGAGGGAGAAGCAGGCTTCCTGCCGAGCAGGGAGCCCGATGTGGGGCTCAATCCCAGGACCCTGGGATCACTACTGGAGCCGAAGGCAGACGCCCAATGACTGAGCCACCCAGGCGCCCCTAAACAGAGTTCTTATATTAATTTTTTGATTATAAAATACTGTTATTCAGGTAGTTATAACTTTAAAAGAATAAAATATTGTTATTTTTTAGCAAAATATTTTAAAGGCAGTTAATTATATGTTTTTTTCAGCAGCTGATGTACCGTCAGAAAAAGACCTTAACAAAGTCCTTCAGCTTTTGGAACCTCAAATTTCCTTTTTAGAAGATCTAACTAAAATGGGAGGAGCAATGCGGTCTGTTCTTACTCAGGTTTTGACAAACCAACAAAACTACAAAGATCTGACTTCTGGTAAGTAAAACATTAGCATAGAAGAAAGTTAAAATTTACTTATGTCACTGTAATCATAAGAAATTGTGTATTTTCAAACTTAAATGTAAGATGTAGATTTTTTTTTCATAAAATGCTAAAGGTGGAAATTATTAAAAGTACTTCTTATTTTATGGATGAAGAAACTGAGTCCCAGAAAAATTAAATGACCAGCTCAGTGCTTCACAACTAACTTATTTAGGAGTTAGCACTAGAATCTAGGTCTCCTCTAAGTTTTGGTATGACATATTCATAATCTTACTCCACCTCCCCTTCCCCAAACAGTAACAAAACTACTTCTATGTCTTCATTTTGGGTATTCTGTACTTTTGGATTGTATGGCATAGGATTTTATAATAATGTAGAATTTAAGGTACAAAACTTGGAATTGCTGAGTATGTTTGTATATGATATACCGTTATATAAAATACTTTAGTTTAAAATTCTTCAGGTTAGCTCAGTTTTACAGTACAACAAATACTTTAAATAGCATTATTTTTGCTGGCTCCTGAACAACATATTTTGAAAAGTTTATGTTTTCTTTAGAGTGGTGAAATTTTCATGTGTATTGTGAATCATTTGTTATTCAGAGATAGTCTTATCTAACATTTTTTTTTTCCAGCAAATACCTATTAAGCACCTACTATGTGCTTGGTTTTGGGCTAGGTACTAGAGTTTGGGGTAGGGAATGCAAGTAGTAAACCAGGTAATCCTATCCTTGCCCTTATAAAGCTTAAGGTCTAGTGAGTGAGATGGCATTAATACAACTCCTAATCCCAAAAAACTGTATGATTTGTAAACTTGTAGTAAATGATATGAAAGGGTAGGGCAAGTGTTTATAAAAGGGAGACTTGATTTCACTGATGGGGAAGATGGGGGAAGCTTCACTGAAGAAGTGATACTGAAAGTAAAACCTAATGGTTGAGAGAAAGTCATTTAGCTCGAGGGTGAGGGGGGTTGGGTGGTAATGGAATGGGGTTGCAGTCAAGGTAGAGGACATCTTCTCCTTTTGATTGCTGGGCTGGCCTGTATGTCATAAACAACATAAAACTGGAAAAAATATGAGGCAGCTGTTATCAGGCACTACAGAGGGGACAGAGGGCAGTACAAGACTAAGTCTTTGAGAGAAAAGAAAAGCATGAGATGAACCCCACGATTGCTCCTAATCTCTGTCTAGGGATAACTTCCTGACTGCAGCGCGACAAGCTGGCATTGAAGCAGTGTGGTGGCCCACCTGAGCTAAGGAGGTAGAGGTCACAGTTAGGGACAGCTGAAACAGTTGGAAACTGGAATCTTTGGGGTAGAATACCAAGAGGTGGGGGGCAGATGTATGGGGGGACCTCTGAAAGTGCTTGGCCGAGGACTGAGATACACATGTACAGGAGAAGACTGCCTCAGGCTTATTAGAGAGTGACTGCTATGGGTTTAAAAGCAGAATAGAGATATAAGACGTTAAGCAGTTTTCAGAGATGTTGGAGTTTCAGCCCAGCCAGACTGGAGAGAACTTCTTAATACCACAGGCATCTAGTTGAGACAGAGTTTAGAGATTATTCCTGTCAATTTAGAGGGCCTTTTGAGAACCTTAGGCTTTCTACAGACCTGTCCTTATTTTTTATTTTCATTTATTTTTATTTTTAGAAAGGGGGAGAAAGAGACAGAGTAAGGCAGGGGGGAAGGGCAGAGAGAGAGAGAGAGAGAGAGAATCCCAAGCAGACTCCACGCCCAGTACAAAGCCTGACATGGGGCTCAATCCCACAACCCTGAGATCATGACCTGAGCTGAAATCAAGAGCTGGATGCCTAACCAACTGGGCCACCCAGGCGCCCCTACAGACCTGCCCTTTACAAACCTTTACTAAACCTTTGTGAGTTTTTAGGTGATCAGGCTGTTAATTGAATGGTCTTCTAGAATTAAAATTAATAATCTTCAAAGGAAGATAATAGAATCCAGAATCTTCTATAATGCATCATTAGAATGTCCAGCATACAATAAAAACTACTAAACATGCAGGAAAATAAGAAATTATGTCCTATAACCAAGAAATAGGGCTGGCAATTTAAATTGACCTTGAAATGGACCAGATACTGGATTTAGCAGATAAAGATTTTTTTTTTTTTAAAGATTTTATTTATTCATGAGAGACAGAGGGGGAGAGAGAGAGAGAGAGAGAGAAGCAGAGGGAGAATCAGGCTCCCAAGGAGCAGGGAGCCCAATGCGGGACTCGATCCCAGGACTCCGGGATCATGACCTGAGCTGAAGGCAGACGCTCAACCATCTGAGTTACCCAGGTGCCCTAGCAGATAAAGATATTAAAGCAACTATTATAGGGCCACCTGCATGGCTCAGTTGGTTAAACATCCGACTCTTGATTTTGGCTCAGGTCACAATCTCAGGGTTGTGAGATTGATCCCTGTGTTGGGCTCCGTGCTGGGCATGGAGCCTGCTTAAGATTCTCTTTCTCCCTCTCCCTCTGTCCACCCTCCACTCTCTCCCTCTCTGAAAGAAAAAAAGCAACTATTATAAATATGTTCAAGAAATTAAAGGAAGATCTGTTCAAATACTTAAAAGTAAATATGATGTTAATGAGTGAAGAGATAAAGAATCTTAGCAAAGAAATATAAACCATAAAAAAAAATCCAGAACTGAAAATTAGCATTGAGTGCAGTAATTAAAGTGAAAAAATTTCCTGGATGGGCTTAGCAGCAGACTGGAGAGGGTAGAAGAAAGACTTAATGAATTTGAAGACAGATTAATAGATTATTCAACCTGGGGGCACCTGGGTGGATCAGTCGGTTAAGCGTCTGCCTCTGGCTCAGGTCATGATCCCAGAATCCTGGGTTTGAGCCCTGCATTGGGCTCCCTGCTCAGCGGGGAGTCTGCTTCTCCCTCTGGCCTTCACCCGCTCATGCTGTCTCTCTCAAATAAATAAGTAAAATCATTAAAAAAATTGATTATTCATTCTAGAAAACAGAGAGAAAATGCAACAGAGCCTTAGGGACCTGTTAGACAGAATCAGATGATCTAATGTGCCTGTAATTGGAATCCCAGGAGGACAAAAGAGTATGAATGTGGCAGAAAAGAAACATTGAAAAAATCATGACTAAAATTTCATCCAAATTGGATGAAAAACATTGTCTTATAGATGCAAGGTGCTTAATGAACCTCAAGCAGGATAAACATAAAGAATATCAGTCACATCTAGACACCTCCTAGATTCCATGTTGAAATACTTATGGGTGAGAATGAGCTTACTTTTTTAAAAAGGGACTAAAAAAAGGTGTAGTGTTGAAATGAAATGAATGTAGGGTGATAGTGGCATAAATAAGGTTACCACAATTAGCCTAGATCCATAGCTCTCATGGGCCATGTGATATTTTATATCTTATCCTGAATGTATTGGGAAGTCATGGAAATATTTTAAGAGTGACATGATCAGATATGTCTTTTAAAAAGATGACTTGCTATTTTGCCAAAAATAGATTGGAAGGGGCAAGAATAGAAAACTCAACTGCAGCCTAGGATAAAGATGATGGTAGCTTGTATTTGAATTTTGGTGACAAAGCTGGAGAAAGATCAAATTATACCTGGTGGTCTGTTATTTCTTCAAACCTTATTTAGAATCTCAACTGTTGTGGAAGAAAGCAGCAAGTTGTTCTTAATCATTGTAAGAATGTATACCTTAGGAATGATTTATGATAATTGTCTTCTTTTGTTTCTACAATTCCTTTTTAATTATTTCTTGAAATAAAAAAACAACTCAACAGAAATCCTTGGCTGACTTTTAGTGATGGAAATCACGTTAAATTTTGGTTCAGAAGTTTAAAATTTTTAGGCTACTGCAGTTGTAATTACTGCTTGCTTATTCACTGGCTAGCCATGTTTTTAAGCCTCCATTATTTACTTGAGAGAGAGAGAGCCAGAGAGCATGAGCCGGGGAAGGGGGAGGGGCAGAGGGAGAGGGAGAAGCAGGCTCCCCGCTGAGCAGGGAGCCCCATACGGGGCTTGATCCCAGGACTGTGGGATCATGACCTGAGCTGAAGGCAGACACTTAACTGACTGAGTCACCCAGGCGCCCCTCCATTTCTTTACTTTTAAAAATGGTAATTATAGGGGTACCTGGATGGTTCAGTTGGTTAAGCATTTGACTCTTGATTTGGGCTCAGGTTATGATCTCAGGGTCGTGGGATTGAGGCTTGTGTTGGGCTCTGTGTTGGATGTGGCGCCTGCTTAAGATTCTCTCTCTTTCCCTCTGCCCCTACCCGTCCTCTTAAAAAAATGGTTATTATACATTCATTTTTCTCAGGCTTGTTGTGAGGGTTGATAAAATATATTTTGTTACTTAAAAAGTATAAATTTGGGGCGCCTGGGTGGCTCAGTTGTTAAGCATCTGCCTTCGGCTCAGGTCATGATTCCAGGGTCCTGGGATTGAGCCCCGCTTGGGGTTCCCAGCTCGGTGGGAAGCCTGCTTCTCCCTCTCCCACTCCCCCTGCTTGTGTTCCCTCTCTCGCTGTGTCTCTCTCTGTCAAATAAATAAATAAAATCTTAAAAAAAAAGTATTATAAATTTCATCTATCATGATTGAGGTATATACATGGCTTTTATTATTCAGGAGACATTTAGTCATTTCTTATATAGGACGCTTAGAAGATCTTTATTCTTTATAAACTAAGTGTAATTGCTTTTTTTTTAAAAACTAAGTGTAACTTTTTAATATTGGACTTAAAGGATGGATATATTCCTGACTGTTTAATAAGTGCTAGAGTGTTGTTGTTGTTTTTAAACCAGCCCAGAGAGACAGATATTTAAAAAACAGTCTATTGCAATTATTAGGCTAGCAAAGAGAGGAAATACAGAAAAGCTCAACAAATATTAAAGAAGTTCACTTATATATTTTTATAATTGGAGAGCTTGAGACCTTAATTTAAGATACATAATTTGCCTAGGAGGTATCAAATGCCATGGTAATTTGGCTTTCAGACAGAATAATTTTTTACTTTTAAAGACTTTTCAAAATAAATACTAAAATTTCTTTTACTGTCATTCCATTCTCCATAAATACATTAAAAAATAAAACAAATTGGCAATAATTAATAAGCTGCTATGCTAAAGTGAAAGTTTTAGGATTGTGTAACTCTAGAACCTAAGCTTTTCAATACTTTTTGGAATAAATTAATTTTTACTGATATTTCTATAGAAATTATACTTTTAATTCTTTAAATATGATAGAAAAAGTTTGATAAAGCAGGAATTAAGAGTAATCTCAGTTATAATATTTGAAAATTCCACTCAGACATTATTTTATCCAGGAAGCCTTTTTTTTTTTTTTTAAAGATTTTATTTATTTATTTGAGAGAGAGAGAATGAGAGACAGAGAGCACGAGAGGGAAGAGGGTCAGAGGGAGAAGCAGACTCCCTGCTGAGCAGGGAGCCCAATGCGGGACTCGATCCCGGGACTCCAGGATCATGACCTGAGCCGAAGGCAGTCGCTTAACCAACTGAGCCACCCAGGCGCCCCCAGGAAGCCTTTACTAAGTATTTTGCTTTGGGTAAGTCTAATGGCACAGTATTATGAGATCATAGATTGTCAAACCAAATGGTTTGTCACTTGTCACTTACCATATTATTTACCTTTCTCTACATGAATTTTCAAGTTCCTTAAGGCAGGAAACATACTCTTGTTAATCTTTGTACCTCCTGTGACTGGCATATTTTAGATACTCAGTTACCTAGTAGATTTTATTATTCATTATAAACATGCTCTGCAATATTGTCTGAAGCTGTTTTATATTCATTCTAGGATTCTCCTGCCATTAGAATAGTTAGCTATTTTATATATGTATATATATTAATTACTGAGATTGCTTTACTTATATTTTGAATGGAATTTTTTTTCTGATTTTAAGTTTGTTTTAAATATTAGGTCTTGGAGAAAATGCTTGTGCAAAGAAAAGTCATGAAAAGTACCTTATAGCTTTGAAGAGCTCTGGACTTACATATCCCGAGGATAAACTTGTATATGGTATACAGGAGCCATCAGCTGGCACTAGCACTCTGGCAGCTCAAGGTTTGTCTATTTTAATTGGAACAGTGATAACTTTTCTGTATTAAAACAAAAAGACCCTCAAACTTGACTTATTATTGAAGAAATTTAAATAATGTCTCATTCTTTTTAAGGAAGGTAGTAAAAATGTAGAAGCAAGAAAGAATAGACGGGCCAAAGAAGAGAATGAGTTTTTCTTAAATGGAATTTGGTTAGTTTATTAAGATTCTAGTTCTAACTCATGAAAAACATTGCTATTTAATAATAGCCCAAAACTTTAGTATCTCAGTATTTTAACAAACCATGGTTTAAAACTAAGAAAAAAGAGATCCTTCTAAAACACCATTTGTGATGATTAAATCTGGATTTTCACTAGAGATTTCTTTTGAAGCATAAACCTATTAGACCGAATTTATTAACGATAAATGTTGAACTCTGCCAAGATATCTGTTAGAATGAGTTCTCTTAAGGTAATAAAACTTGGTTTTTTGTTTATGTCTCAAAATAATTTTAAAGTAAGTCAATATGTAACAGTTATGAAGGAAACTTTTTTTCCTTTCCAAAGGTTTTGCAGGTGCTACAGGAACATTGGGACAGCTAGATTCCTCAGATGAGGTGAGATTTAAAACTTTTTGAAAATAGAATTTAAAAAGTTTTAGAACTATACAGATTTGTGGATATTATCTAGTTTAAATTCCTCATTTTGTAGACAAGGACACTGAAACCTAGAGATCATAGATTAACTTAGTCAAGATTGCAGTTATCAGATTTTTGCTGCTTCTTTATAATTCATCTTTTTCTTCACAGTTTAGAAATGGGAGATAGATCTTTCCTAGGAAGATATCCCCAAATTGATCCAAATTGTCATAATACAGTGAAATTGTTTTAAGAAATTTAGCTAAGTCTTGAACAATGTATTAAAAGAATATAAAAGGTAACTGCTTTTCCAATCTCATCATAAGTTACACCATGTATATTATACCTTATTTAAAAAAGCAGTGTACTTGGAAATACTGTCGGTTTGAAATTTCAACTTTTATAGTATTTATTAGCCAAATAGTAGCGCTTATTAAATATTTCTGATAAATCCTTTATAGCATTCCTATATTTTATTAGTATACAATTTAATGGAGAATTGCTTTTTTTACAAATATTTGTATATAATCTTGATGCTTATGAAATGTAATTTTCATATTTTTTGTCAAATTTAATGATTAAGAAATTAAAAACCAAATTGTGTTATATTTAGAAATACTTTTTAAATGTAACTTTTTTGTTTGAAAACCCATTTTAATATGATAATATCACATGAACTAAGCAAAATATCCTCTTTTTGAAAATATGATTTCTGTTATTGACGTCTTGTAATTGATTTAATGCCTTATAATTTAAACTTCCTAGTGGTATTTTTCCCCTCTAAAAGGGCTCCCACAAAACGCAGCATTTTCTGGAGTCTCTTTTTGGACAAACAGTTTAAAGAGTTTTCAACAAATTGGAGAGGAAGTTTCATATGCTGTTTACCAGTTTGACTCTGGAATTAGAGTGCCTGGGTTTGAAACTGGCTCCTGTACCAATTAGTAGTGTGATTTTGGGCAAGTGTCTTAACTTCTCCATGCCTAAATTTCCTCTTCTGCAAAATGGAAGTAATAATAATAGTATTGCCTGGGGTTATTATGAGGATTGAATGAGTTCATATATGAAAGCACTTAGAGCAGTAGTGCCTGGCATATTGTAAACACTGTGTGTCTGTAAAATAAAATAAAATCATTTAAAAAATTAAATTATTTAAAATCATTTAAAAATACTGTAAATGGTTAACTATAACTTTTGCTTTTTTTTAACTTCAAAGAGTTACAAACAGTGTTGCTATAATGACAAATGGGAAAAACTTACTGGTATTTAAAATAGACTTTCAAAAAAATAAAATAGACTTTACAAAATACATATAAACATTCTCCATTATTTCAACTAAAATAGTATTAATTCCATTTTGAAGCTAGGGGAGGGGAGTGATGGAGGTAAGAATACCAATTCTTCATATGTAAAGGAAGGAAGACATTAGATAATAGACATGTGGTTTTATTTTATTTTTTTAAGATTTATTTATTTATTTTAGAGAGAGCACGCACAGGCGAATTAGTGGGGGGTGGGGTGGGGAAGGGCAGAGAATCCTCAAGCAGACTCCTCACTGAGTGTGGACCCTAACGTGGGGCTTCATCCCAGGACCCTAAGATCATGACCTGAGCCAAAATCAAGAGCTGCACACTTAACCAGTCAACTGAGCCATCTGGGGGCCCTTAGACATTTTCTTTTTTAAGATTTTATTTATTTATTTTGAGAGAGAGAGAGCATGCAGGGGGAGGGGCATAGGGAGAGAGAGAATCTCAAGCAGACTCCACACCAAGCCCCGAGCCTGACTTGGGGCTTGAGCTGAAATCAGGAGTTGAATGCTTAACCAGCTGAGTCACCCAGGCATCCCTGAACGTGTGGTTTTTAGTAACTTATTCTGCTCTATTATTTCTTTTTTTTTTAAGAGTGAGTGGGAGAGAAAGAGTGAGTGAGCTGGGGGGACATGGGCAGAGGGAGAGGGAGAAAGAATCTTACCCAGGTCCCACACCCAGCGCAGAGCCCAACGCAGGGCTTGATCTCACCACCCTGAGATTATGACCTGAGCTGAAATCAAGAGTGGGTCGCTTAACTGATTGAGCCACTCAGGCTCCTCTATTCTGCTTTCTTTAAGGGCATTTTGTGGGGAGGCAGAATGGCCTCTCAAAAGGTGAGATCTGGGAATACTTAGAAATCGAATATGAGTGGGGAGCATGAGCACATTTTTGTTTAAAGCCAACCAGACAGGAAAGGAGCCTTGTATCTATTGTCATTAGTACCTTTAGAAAATTGATTTCATAATGAAATCATTTAGTGATGTTACAGGACATTTTTTAAAGATAATCTAAACATCTTGATGTGATCTAGAACAATAAAAATCTATAGTTATGTTTGCTTATATGGTAGGTTAAAACCTTCATATTATTTTAGCATCCTAGCCTTATGCATCTAATAGCTGTGATAACAATTCTACTTTATTTTCATGAATTGAATCTGATTTCTGGGCATGTAGAAAGCTGATCTTCAACATAGATACTTTCTCCTCTGTCTAGGAAAGAACTAAGTCATTTTTGTCTTGGCCTAAACTCTCCAGCTTACCTTTTAAATTGCCATGGATTTTATGGTAGGGTGCCAGAAGGAAATCCTTTTTTTTGTTTTTAAAGATTTTATTCATTTACTTGACAGAGAGAGAGACAGTGAGAGAGCGAACACAAACAGGGGAGTGGAAGAGAGAGAAGCAGGCCTCCCGCTAAGCAGGGAGCCCTATGGAGGGCTCGATCCCAGGACCCTGGGATCATGACCTGAGCTGAAGGCAGATGCCTAACGACTGAGCCATCCAGGCGCCCCAGGAAATCCTTTTTTTTTTTTTTAAAGATTTTATTTATTTATTTATTTATTCATTCATTCATTCATTCATTCATTCATTCATTCATTTAGAGAGTGACCTGGGGGAGGAGACAGAGGGAGTGGGAGAGAGAGAATCTCAAGGAGACTCCATGCTGAGTGCAGAGCCTGATGTAGGGTTTGATCTCATGACCCTGAGGTCATGACCTGAGTCAAAACTAAGAGTTGGACACTTAACTGACCAAACCACTCAAGCACTCCTAGAAGGAAATCCTTTTGTGTGTGTTGGGGAGAGAAGTAATTTCTGGGTGGATATCAGAGGATTTGAAATAAAGCTTTTCTTTGTTCATTGCCATTGCTTCTAAACTGTCCTTCTTAACGTCTTTTCTTCTGTTCTTTCTATTCATTCCTGTTGGTTTCTTAGTTTCAGCAACTTTTGTGTATAATATGTTTTATATAATAATTTGTTCCTTAATTATGATTATGTCTCCATGTGAATATCATCTTAAAAACTTCTTGATGGTGACAAGTTCAAAATACTTCATCTATCCTCAAAGTACATCATTTTTTGAGAGTAGCTGAGAATTATTGTTAGAACATGTGATACATATTTAACTTATATATTTAAAAGTAGTTTAGACTCTGATTTTTAAATCATATTTTGTAATTTAAATTTTAATCTATTTAAAAGTACTTTTTATAGTTTATATATTTATTATAATTTCTAGTTGGGATAAAAATGGGGTCATTTGCGCATTTGAAAACTTAAGAATTTGAAGTAGAGTTGTTTAGCTACAAGTGAATTGAAGGGATATCTATTTTAGTTTTTTTTGTTTTAAAGATTTTACTTATGTGAGAGAGAGAGAGCAATAGAGAGTGAGAGAGAGATCACAAGTTGGGGGGGGCAGAGGAAAAGGGAGAAGCAGGCTCCCTACTGAGCAGGGCTCAACATGGGGCTCAACACGGGGCTCAATCCCAGGATACCTGAGCCAAAGGCAGAGGCTTAACCAACCGAGCCACCCAGGCACCCCTACTTTAGTTTTTTCTTTAAGAGAAACTTCAGCTTTTTAGAATTAGGCAGACCTCAGTTTGAATTTTGTCTCATAATATCACTTTGTTTTTTGCCGGGTTATTTAACTTTGGAACATCCATTTTCTCTTGAAAAAATGATGAGAATTCTGTTAGGATTAAATGGGATAACATATAAAGTACCTATCACAGGTTAGACACAGATTAGACTCTTTTTTTAAAAATTTTTTATTGTTATGTTAGTCACCATACATTACATCATTAGTTTTTGATGTAGTGTTCCATGATTCATTGTTTGTGCATAACACCCAGTGCTCCACGCAGAATGTGCCCTCTTTAATACCCATCACCAGGCTAACCCATCCCCCCACCCTCCTCCCCTCTAGAACCCTCAGTTTGTTTTTCAGAGTCCATCGTCTCTCATGGTTCATCTCCCCCTCCGACTTACTCCCCTTCATTTTTCCCCTCCTGCTATCTTCTTTTTTCTTTTTTCTTAACATATATTGCATTATTTGTTTCAGAAGTACAGATCTGTGATCAGGTTAGACTCTTAATAAATGTTTTTGTCCTAGTACTTTATGTGAGGAGTGAATCAAATATTTGACTTTTTGAGCTATTGTGGGTCATATTATACACATTGCTACTCATCTTTGCAGAGGAAGTAATTTATTAAAACATGTTTTAAAACAAGTTCATTTTTAAAAATTTAATTGAAATATTACCTAAGTAATGCACAAATACATTGTAGTTGTTTTGCCAGACAAGTAAGATAAAATAAAAGCCCCCTCTCTGCCCTTCCTAATAGCAGCTCTTCTCCGGGTAACTACAGTTAATAGTTTGGATGTCCTTGACAGACCCTCTTCTATGGAGTTAAATAACTATGTGTTTATAGAAATGTATCGTGTGGGTGTGTTTGTGAATAAATAAAAAATGTTATGCCATTTTGTGTCCTTTTATTTGCTCCATAATGTACTGTGCAGATTCATCTTTGTCAGTACTCTTTTCTTTCCATTTGCTACATAGTATTCTGAAATATGAATTAAGCTACAGTTTATCCAATCATTTTCTTAATTTGCAGTTTTTAATGACAAGATACAGGGCTTACATTTCTTTTTGTGCAGATGTGCAAGTATTTC